AACCCTAGATATATCAAGAAGAGTATTTCATAATTCATATTCATATTTATTGACTTGGACACTAAGGTGCTAATGCTGTTCTCTGAATGATTTCCACAGTGATGCAGATGAAATAAAAGTAAAAGAAGAGACAGGGGCAACAATTCGATGTTTCCCTTTTAAACAGCCCCAAGGGCGCGAAACATGCCTAATGACTAGGAAACCTGCAGAAGAAGTTGCCATTTTCGCAAAATCTTATTAAATCTTTGGCCTGCACACTATCAAGCATGCTCATTTGTGATTATCTTGTTTTGTTAAGGCTTGTCTTCCTCCAGCATATATGGTAAAAAAGGACAAACTTTCATCCAGCTTGTGATTAGGGGCATAAACTTAATTCTTGTTCTGTTTGGGTTAGTTCTAGCGTGTGTTACGCCTGGCTAGCATCGAAAAAGGTGGTTGGGTACAAAAAAGCCCGAGAAAAAGTGTTGGTTGACTACTAAGGCTCTTTAATTTAGATGAGAAGATTTTCTTCAAATTAAAACTGCTTCTGATTTTATATATTTATTTACAAATCGAATTACGATTGTACTGCTATTGAATATTTAACACTAGAAAGAAGTACACCGTATACTTCTTTCGTATTTAGTACTTTACCTTAGATGCAATGTTTAATGGTTCAAACTTCAAAAAATCGAACCAGGGCTGAAAAACAATGTGAAAATTGAAATGCCCCAGTTCTTGTTATGCAATAAATGTGAGAAATAATATGTCTACCATTATTAAGCCATGCATTTATGTCTCAGAAATTGACAAATCAATTAACCACAGCCAACATTCTCTGATATTATATCAACAATTAAAGAAGCAATGAAACAAGCAGCCAACTAACCAACTTAACGGTTTCATAATTCCAACCACACACTCACTTCTCACATTTACTCAAACTGCGTCCCTCTCCTCACACTATTCTTATTTCACATTCTGCACTCTGCAATGGACCAATTGAATCTTAAAAATCTCACTGTGTATCTGCTACCAGCGATCCAAATTACTCTGAAGAAGTCTTCTCCCATGGCTCAGCCTGGAAGATCCGGGAGTGATGCTGTTGGAAATGATCAAGTTTATGATCAAAGCATCATAATTCCCAACAATTTCAGAACGAAAGAACTCTCATGGTACAATAAGCACCCACTATGTTCTTCTCATTTGCTTTGAAGCACAGAAGTTTATATCTAAGCTTAGGCTAACTTTTCTCTGGGTGAGTTCATGCAGGTTTTCGACATCTCAAATCCCTGCAGATTTTTCCGTTCAAGTTCAGGATGTAAGCTTTAGTGTTCACAAGGTAAGACATGAACAATTAACTACGATATGACACTATATTATCTGCAGATCTGAGATGATGATCATAAGAAAGTTAAAACATATTCTGCAGATCTTCAGAATAGATTACTTTTCTTGCTATTTCTTCACAAGGCTATATAAAGAGGAAAAAAAAAATGTTTTGTAGGTCGTTTTTTAAATTTTTTTTTTAAGGATAAGTCTAAAAACTCATTTTTTAATTAATATTTTCAAAAACAAATTATTAAATTGAAAATTTTATTTATATAGAACATACATATCAAGTTTCAAATTGTTTTAGTATTCTAATTACTTCATTGATTACAAGATTTTTAATACTATTAAATATATATTAATAAATAAACTTACTTTGCTTAAAGAGTTATAAGTGTTAGATCAATATAGAAATTAACATGTATGATCTATATGAATAAAATTTTTAATTTAACAGTCAATTTTTTAAAATATTAATGAAAAATTCACATGCATGATTTATATAAACAGAATTTTCAATCTAATAGTCGATTTTTAAAATATTAATGAGAAAATGAGTTTTTACATAAATACTTTAATAAAAAATTTAGGGAGATGACATGCCCTACACTATTCTTATATAGAAAACCATAACACTAAATCTCTCAACTATTTGCCCTGAAACAGTATCCATTGGTATCAAAAAGTTGCTATATTGGGAGGCTGGAACTTCAGCCATCAATCTCAAATTTTGGGTATGAACTCAAGTTGGAAAACTTTCCAGGTGGATCAGAAACATTTGAGATCGTTCTTAAATTCTGCTATGGTCTCCCTGTAGACATGAATCCTAACAACATTGCTGCATTAAGATGTGCATCAGAATATCTAGAGATGACAGAAGAGCTTGAAGATGGAAATCTCATCTCGAAGACAGAAGCTTTTCTCACCTTTGTAGTTCTTGCTTCGTGGAAGGACACAATCACAGTCATTAAATCCTGTGAATTCCTTTCTCCCTGGGCTGAAAACCTCCAAATTGTCAGAAGATGTTGCGATTCAATTGCTTATAAGGCTTCTAGAAAGAACTCGATGACTGGAGATTCAGACACAACAGAAGGCTGGTGGTTCGATGACGTTGCTTCCCTCCGCATTGATCACTTCATGAGGATCATAACAGCAATCAGAGCAAAAGGAGCAAAACCAGAAACTGTAGGCAAATGCATCATGCATTATGCAGTGAAATGGTTGCCAGGCATGGACGAGGAATTGGAAGGCCTAAGAGGATATGGTTATGGGAAGCACGAGCTACAGTTCAGTATTATGAGCAGAAATAAGGAAGAAGGAGGCATTGGACATAACAAAGAGCAAAAAACAATCGTTGAAAGCCTAGTAAGCCTACTCCCTCCTCAACAAGGAGCAGTTTCATGCAAGTTCCTGTTGCAGATGTTGAAAACAGCCATGGTATATTCTGCATCACCTGCTTTGACAGCAGAGCTTGAGAAGAGAATAGGGATCATGTTAGAAGATGCCAATGCAATTGATCTTCTGATCCCCAATTACAAAAGTGAAGATCAGGGGGCAACAGTAAAGTGAGTAATCTGTCCATTTTCTTTGAGATTGTCCTAGAAGAATACAAGAAGAATCAATTTGACTAACATACACCCATCTACTTTTTTAATGAACAGTTCACCTGAACATCGCATGATGCACAACTTAGATGTGGTGCAAAGGATTTTGGATTACTTTTTAATGCATGAGCAACAGCAGCAGCCGAAAATTGGAAAATCAAATGTCAGTAAAATCTTGGACAATTACTTGGCAGAGATAGCAAAGGACCCGAATCTTTCCATCACTAAATTTCAAGTTCTAGCCGAATCCTTGCCAGAAAATGTTAGATCATGTGATGATGGTCTCTACAGAGCCATTGACACCTACCTCAAGGTTGCCCAGTGTATCCTATTCTCATATTTTTGTTGATATGGTGAGATCTTGATACCAAATATTTTCATATCCTTTTCAGACTCATCCTTCATTATCTGAGCATGATAGAAGGAGGTTATGCAAAATAATGAACTGTGAAAAATTATCACTTGATGCATGCATGCATGCTGCCCAAAATGATCGATTGCCTCTACGCATCATTGTCCAGGTAAAGCTTTATATCAAGAACTTTCTAATTATTCTAGCATAGTCGCATCCTTCATCCTATAAAAAAATTTTCAGAGTAATGTAACCTACCAGACTTTAAATGAGTTCCTAAAGTTCAAAGAAATAGGAATTTACAAAAGATGGTGTGAAGACTGGTGCATGCAATATACACAGTATTCACTGCAATATTAGATGTTCTATAACTGCATCTTCACTAACAAGAAGTAACTACTAACATGGCAACTCATCATTACTGAATTTGATAGTCAAATAAGATAAAACTTGAAAGATAAATTAATGCCAGTTGATAATCAAAGTATTCAATGACAGGACTAAAAGGACAAGTGATTTTAATATACAGCTCATTCAAAAAAACATAAATCAGAAGCTTAGAAGATCAAATTAAGGAAATCAACCAGAGACCAGTTACTAAGAAAAAATTGCAGATATATGCTGTCAACACTAGGGCAAGGCAGTACACAAACTTTAAAGTGCATCAACAATCTATTTTAGATGAATTTGGAGGCCAAAAGGGGGAGTTGAACCTTAGACAGTTATACCTCTCCCTCCTAAAGAGGGATAACAAACTGCTAGGCCAAGCCAGTTTATCATTTGCATCATCAATCTATCAAAACCAGTAACCCCTTACACAGCAAAACAATTTTGAAATTAAAGCTTCTCTGTGACCCAACAAGCTCAGTTTGTTCATGTAGAGCAGGCCAAACTATATGAATTATATATCCACTTCTATATAATACTAACTGATAAGGTCTCATTGGAAATTGACTCAAGGTCTTCAGAACTCAAGCCTCCAACCAACAGTTGTAGACCAGAATCCATCAGCACCAAAATATTTTCCTTACCTAATGAAATGTCATAGCATATGGAAGGGTGAAAAGTGGATTTTCTTGTTATGGTATAAGAAGCTTCCAATCCTAATACACGTATTAAACATCCTAACTCAAAGCAAGAGCATCCTCATGGTAATACATCCTCCCGGTAATATATATTGCCTATTAAATGACCATATCAAAGCATATCTTATCCTTTGTCCCATGCCCTCTGAAACACCGTAGCACTCTCTTTCTAGGGAAATAAAATTCCAAACCTATGGGCAGATAGTTTCAAAATAGTAGCAGAAGACTACTTAACCCCTGAGATCAACCAAACAAATAAATTAAAGTTCAAAAGGTTACTACCATAAGTCACAAACTAAAGCAGAGAGCAGTCACAATTAGGACGCCCCAGCTGTCAAGATTCAAGAAGATGGCTACAGGTGCCAAACAGCTGCTTTAAGAAGCCTCCTGAGAATCACACCCTCCAAAAACTGCTACCAAACAGCCTTAGGTATTAGTAAAAGGATTCTGACATGAAATCTGATCTTTTCTATATTACAAACCTTAGCCAACAGAATATAGGTATAAGATGGTCTCAGAGTGTAAAACTAGCAAATAATGCCAAACAACTGACCAAATATGCATAACAAAAATTAAATCCATCCACTCTGTGGTCATTAGAATGTGGTTGATCAAATGAATGCATGCAGGTTCTATTTTCAGAGCAAGTAAAGATGAGGATGGCCATGCAGGGTAAAGAGCCAATACAAAGAGTTGATAACTATGAACAGGAAGAAAACCAGTCACCAACGAACATAGAGATCAAGACTCTCAAAGAAGAACTAGGGAATGTAAAGACAAAAATGGCAGAGCTACAGGATGACTATTCTGAGCTGCAAAAAGAGTATGAGAAGATCAGCAAGAAGCAGAGGAATAATCCAGGATCAGGATGGACTTTGGGTTGGAGAAAAATTAAGAATTCTTTTCACACCAAGGGAGAAGGTGATGAAACTGGAGAAGGACATCAGAGACCAAATGCACGGAGCTTCCGAATCAGCTTCAGACGAAGGTCATCAATCTCGTAATTTCTTAATTATAACATCAAGGCTCAACTTAGCAAAGGCTTCAACAGCATCATCTACATTCATTTAGTGTGAATATCTTCATCATCTTGTGGTTGCCTACATATATTATTGCTGTAATCTCTGTCTCATTAGCAAAAAGATGCAAGAGAACTCACAGATTCTCCTCCTATATTACACATAGATGGTACCTTTACTCTTTAATGAGATTGGAAGTTTAATTTCAGTCATTTAGCTTTACAGACTACAGCAATGATTCATATGAGATAAACAGATATTTCAGCTATCCCTATAACAGGTCAAAAACAACACAGGAGAAAATATCTCTCAATTTTTAAGGAAAAAAGTAAAGGAATATATATATTTTCCAAGGGGAGAGGGAAGTATACTTCTTCTTCTTTTCCTTCTTATTTTGTATTTAAGAATTCTTTGCTAGTTTGTCCTCAACCCAGAAAGTCATCATGAAGAATTCTTGCAAGTCATCTAATCATGAAAAAGTTAATTTCTATAGATAGAGCAATTCATTATGGTTGAAGATGATATCCAATAGCTTATGCACAGTGGTGGAGGGAGCGGGGTGCGAGGGGGGGCACTAGCCCCCCCTGAAATTTGAAAATCCTTACAAATTAGTATATGAAAAATTATTTTGCCCCCCTGAAATTTAAAAATTTTGTAAATTAATATATAAAAAATTATCTCTTCCCCCCTGAAAAAAAATTCTGGCTCCGCCCCTGCTTATGCAGTTTAAAAACAGTCCCATTATAAGCAACTAAGCAGTAGAACATGCTGAATTACCTAAAAGAAACACAATTCATGAACTATAACATCAAAAGGCCTTCTCATAAGACTTCAACAACATGCATTTTTCATAACTTCTAACCATTCCGGCCAAAAAAGAACCTTCTAACCATAAAAGAAGTATACTGTATCCCAATTTCCACATTCATAGTCATTACAGAAACCGCAGTTTTAAGGCAAGATGAAACCATAAGACCTTATTAAACCCCACACTCCATGTAAAACTAAGACAAACAGAACAAATTCGTACCCACCTAATTAGCCTTCTTCATACTGCTCCAGGGGAACTTCACCTCCCCACCGCCACGACCTGACCTTGACCCTTTATTTGCCCTCACTTTAACCCTGCCTTCATTCCCACTCTCCCTCTTCTCATCAAGCCAATGCCTTTTCCTTTCCTCTTCTTCCACAACATTCTTGTTCTTGGTCTGGCTCTGCCTCTCCTCTTGTATAACCTTGATTGGGAACAGATTCTCCGAGATGGATAGAGGCGTTCTCAACGAGACATAAGCCTTCTTGTAGTCGGGTCTGGCGTACAAGATGCCACCAGCCTTCTTCTTCTTGCCTTCCATGTTGAGGGTTCGGACCTTCTCGACGTCGAAGCCATAGAGTGACTCGAGGACGCGCTTGATCTCGATCTTGGAGGCAGAAGGTATGGTCTTGAGGGCTATCTCTTTGATGTTAGTGAAAGTGGTTGGCATTAGCAGCTTGATTGGAAGGTTCGCGAAGTTGACTACTCGTCTCCCCAGTCTGCTCCCCATCTTGTTCTTTCTTCTGTATTCTGGTTCGATGGAGTTCAAATGGCAGGATGCTCTGTGAAGAAGAAGAAGAAGAAGAAGAAGAAGAAGAGGAGGGTTTTTGTGAGGCTTTGTTGGTCCTGTTCTTCTCCGGTGATGGTCTGTTTCTGGGCTGAGGAGTAAGGGCGCTCTTTGGGTTGGGCCGGATATGATAAAATAATGGGCTATATAGGTATAAAGGATTGTTTAAGCATTAAAATGAGTACAATACCAAAAAAGTGTAAAAAACATATGAACCAATTAACCACACCCTAAATAATGAGTGCAGAAGTTTATTGGCCTTGCATGTATAGAACAAAACCGAAAACATAAATGAAAACAAAATGGTTAAACTTTTAAAAGTTCAATTTTTTCTTCCATCGATTCCCCAACGTCCTAGACAATGAGTGCAGAATGGTCCATGGGAAAGACTGTACATCGTGAGATCTACAATGATTCGCCTTAAATGACGGCTTTCTGTAGAAAGAAAAAAAATGCATTCACAGAGATTTGTTTGTGTAGAGGAACCATGTCTTCCTG